TGAAGTACAGTTTATTCTCAAACCTGTGAGAACGAAATTAGACAGACGAGAACGAAAGTTTGGTGTGAAATCCAACCCAGTTTCAGACCTGAGAGAACATCATTAGACAGAATAGGAACAAACTTTCCTGTGGCTTACAGCAGTCTCAGATCTGAGAGAACGTCAATAGACAGAGTAGAAACCAAAACTTTGTGGGAATTGCATACCAGTCTCAGACCTGAGAGAATGTGTTTAAACAGAACAAAAACAAAAGTTTTGTGCGCGAGTTACAATCCATTCTCAGACTTGAGAGAAGGTCATTAGACAGAATAGAAACAAATTTTTTGAGCGAATTACAACCCATTCTCAAAGATGAGAGAACGACATTAGGCAGACGAGAACCGAAACTTTGGTGTGACTTACAACACAGTCTCAGACCTGAGAGAACGTCATTAGACAGAATAGAAATAAAGTTTTTGTGTGAATGAATTTCAATCCAGTCTCAGACCTGAGAGGAAGTCATTAAACAGAATAGAAAAAAGCTTTTGTGTGGATTACAGCCCAGTGTCAGGCATGAGAAAACATCATTGGACAGAACAGAAACAAACATTTCATGTGAAATACATCCCAGTCTCAGACCTGAGAGAATATTTTTAGACAGAGTAGAAACAAAATTTTAGTGTGCATTACAGCCCAGTCTCAGACAAGAGAGAACTTCATCAGAAAGAACAGAAGCAAAATTTTTGTGTTTGAATTACACTCCAAACTCAGACCTGAGAGAACGTCATTAAATTGAATAGAAACAAGGTTTTTGTGTAAAACGCAACCTTGTCTCAGACCTGAGAGAACGTCATTGGACAAAATAGAAACATAGTTTTTGTATGAATTACAGCGCAGTGTCAGACCTGAGAGAACGTCATTAAACAGAATAGAAACAAGGTTTTTGTGTAAAACGCAACCTTGTCTCAGACCTGAGAGAACGTCATTGGACAAAATAGAAACATAGTTTTTGTATGAATTACAGCGCAGTGTCAGACCTGAGAGAACGTCATTGGATACGTCATTGGATAGAAAAGAATTAAAATTTTTATTCGAATAGCACTCCAGTCTCAGACCTGAGAGAACTTCATCAGACAGATAGGATAGGAATTCGACGTCGCGCTCTGGAGCAATAGCTTATCCGCTGTATTTTTTTGACGAAAGATGCCAGACTTCCAGTGTAAACTTTGGTGCTAAATAAACGTTTCATTGTTTTTTTGGCGGCTCTTAAAAATTCGCTTAGCCCGTCGCGGCATTGAAAATTTCCAAATAATTGACTCAATATCAGTATTGCGGTACTATTTTTGTTCTTAAGCCTGAATAACTTGGCTCGCTGTCTGAGTCATCAAAATTTGTCGTCTCTTCGTCCTCTTCGTCGGATTTGATTTTATCTGCTTGTGATTTCAACGAACTGCAGATTTTTGCAAAACGTCTTCTTCTGCCAGATAAATTGCAATTGTCGCTTCGAGCAGCACATTCGCCCCCATGTTTGGGTGTACACTTGTTACCGCAGAATTAAAACGGTTTTGAATTCTGATTTCCAGGTTTCTTGCTCTGATTTGGATTGATATTTTTGCCGTTCTAATTCCTTGTGTTACTCAATTCTCGGTTCATCCTGTTAAGATAATGTTCTTTGATTGAATGGACACAGTAGTTTCTTGCTTCACCTTGATGAAACTTAGGTTCGGATTTCCGCTTCCGAGGTTGCTCTGATTTCGTAGAAAATTGGCCGTGGTCTATCCTTTCTCTTGAAATAGGGCTGCCTTTAGCGTATCATCGACCGTGGCACCTGGTTGTATGCAAATTTTTTTGAATGTTGAAGAATTTCTTTTTGGTAGTGAAATTCTCAGATATGACCTTTTTCGACCATTTTTGTCCAGCGACATTTCGCTGCTTGTCCTGATAGACGCAAAAAACGCTTCGAGGCTTTCTCTGTCACATTGATGTGCATCTTATGACTTCATCTTTTCTATGAATTAGTTTTTCTCTCTTCTGAAATTTTTTTTGTATAAATTGTGAAAATATTTGAAGTTTACCGTGTTTAGATTGGTGTGCAGATTCTGTTGAAGGAATCTTTTTTTCTTTGGATGCCCAAAGCGAAGAAGAGTCTTCGTTTTATGCGATTAGCTGCCTCAGGATAAAATGTGTTGGTTCCTTCTTTCTCCTTCCGTCAATACATTCAGCGACTTTTCGGACTGCTACTGTATCTCTTGCAAATATTTTATTTGATTCGCCTTGTATTTTAGTTGCCGGTATTGATTTTGGCTTTAGTTGTAGGTTGTTGAAAACAAGAATGCGATCTGTTAATAAAACTTTTCGGTCGCAGCCTTCCGTGAGCGAGATGTCCAACAAACTCTGGCCTATCAACGTTTGTCACGAAAACGGAGATTCTGTAGATACTTTCCTCTATTAGACTGGTACGTCCAAAAGGCCTGTTGTATCATCAGATTGTAAAACTGCTGGCTGCGGAATGAGAGATTTCTAGAACGCTAAAATTAACTCAATTAGAAAACTATTCATTGGGAATATCAAACAAATTCAGATTTGATTTCAGAAGAATAAAAAATATTAGCCGTAATCTTTCGAGATAAAACGTGAATAATTCACTAGCACTGACAGCTGTCATTTATTAGTAGCACCATGATCTTAAATACGGATACTACGCCGTATGAGAGTCTCAATTTATTTCAGTAAAATTTCTAAGCCAGATTAAATGGCCATTTACCCTAAGCGTCCAGACATAATTATTAGTTTTCTCTTACGATTTTTGCATTTAAACCATTTTTTTAAGCATAGGGTTGATGATTGGGTTGTGTTGAAGATTATGAAGAGTAGCGAGGGGTTCATTCTGAGGTCCTTATATTTACTATTTGAAAACGTTAAAGAAGCGTCTTTATAACTTCAAAACAGATCCAAGCAACAGAGCAAATTCGTGAACATTCCGGCTGTCCGTTAAAGATCCTTGCTAGTTTTTGGCAAAAATGTCAAATAAGAACATTTTTAGCAACTTTTAATGCAATATTTGAATCAATCAGCATGCTTCAATTCCTTTTTGGGTAAACTATCAGCCTTAATAATCCTTGATTCTGCTTTATATCATGAACCAGTAGTGCAAGCTGCCACTGATCAAGGCCTGAAACAACAATGGGCAGTTTATGCATTTTGGAGCAATGAGACATTGATATAATGCAAGGAAACTATGGCAAAGAGGTAAATTTATGACTGGAAAACTGCAAATCGTAGGTTCGATCCATTTTGGGAGCTTTTGTAAAAAATCCGAAAGTCAGCTCTGGTTCAGAGATAGTTGTGCTTATTTCAAATTTCAGTGCTGTTTTGGAGACGATTCAGAGCTCATTAAGAGCAGAGGTTTCAGCACTGATTCAGCGATGTTTCAATCCTCATAACTGATAAGTGGCCACTGATAATGGCTTCGAACAGCTAAAAAGTAGAATTTTTGCACGCTTTTCTACTCTAAAATGGCTAAATAAGCGATTTACTTCCCTGTAAAAATATGTTAGTCGCGGATTACTAATGTCTGTTCATAAAATTAAGCTCAGGGCATTAAGTTTCTTCAGATAGTACTAAAATATCCCGTGAAAAATGGCTAGCTAAAAGAAGAAATTTGCATGAAGAAAAATAGCGAGGGCAAATATTCGTCACTTTCATTGAAAGTGCGAACAAAAAGAGCCGACTTTGATGACTGACTGTATTCGACTTTTATTGTGACATTTTCATTCAGCCTCGTATTTCGACTGTGTTCGGTTTAATCTTCCAAAAGGGCCTGAACAAACTGAGGTATCTATCGGTTATGCTCGCCTCATGCTTAGAGAGGCTCGATCATGATTGGAAATTTTGCTCAGCTTGAACTAGATTTGCACCAATTAAGTATGGCCTGATAGTGCCTGGTTTTTCGTTGGTTGATCTAAACCGCAATTTGACCTATCTCTGATTATTTTGGACGCACAAACCATTTAAGATAAGAGACGCAGATCTGACTCGATATCTAACGGGCTCGTGGATTAACTTATGGTGCCGATCTAATTAAATGGCCAAATGGTTGTCGCTATCATTTAGTTGCAAAATACTTTATAATGCCTTTACAACGAACAAAATTATAAAATAGAGAAGTTTTTCAAACTTCACAAGTATAGCTAGCAAAACGATCTTTAATAACCGTTTACCCGAGCTATTTCTGATATTTCAGCTGCAAATATGAAGATTTCATTGTAAACTAAAACCATTTCATATAGAACTGGCTCAAACCTCTTTAAGGCAGAATCATTTGCCATGTAATGGGTTTTTTTAGCTTCTATTTTGCAGGTTCTTTCGGCATAACTGCAAAATCGGAAAGTGGTAATGAGTGTTCTTGTTGTGGTGTAAAAGTCAAGTTACTTGCAGTACTGCAATTTCTGACCAGCAGTCCAGTACATATTTGCGAGCAGCCGGCGGATTAAACGAATGATTCTGATTCTCATACAATGATCGCTGGCATAGAAAGAGCAGGCAGTAAGAAACTATCAGAAGTTAAACCTATCCTCTCGATCTCCTGGCCATGACAACCAACAGCATTCACGGCGCAGACGTCTTTCTAAAAATAAAGCAGGCCTCCACTTACTAAAGTGGCCATTTCCTTTTGTTCAGTTGATACTCGATGCTAAATCATGTGTTAAGCCAAGCAATGATTCGGTCACCAGAGCCTAATTGGGACTGAATAAGTATTAGCGAGTATTTCACCTACAGCGCTGTTTATACCGCAAACTTCTGCCAAAACCAAAGCAAAACACAATCATGTGTTAATGCAAATACGCGGCCGCTTTTCTTTTACCCTCCTGTCTGCGGATAGACCAAGCCAAACCCCCCTCCCCACCCGCGCACTAAGACGCTACTAAGTAGAGCGGAAGCGATTCTCTTCTGCTCCGAGCAGCCCCAACTCAACTCACAACATTCGCTCCACTCAATTGGGGAGAATTGAATTATGGATAAAAGCAGGGAAACAAAACTTGTTTTCCAGTATTTGAGACGCCCGCGCCTTTCTGCACTCAACCTCTTTAGGCACCAACACTCCTAACAGTTCCACTAAAACAAACATCAAAGTCAGTTTGAACCAATTTTTATACCGACAAGTTTTCAAAAAAATTGAAAAATGCTGACAGCTTCTGAGTTCCATTTTGTTTTCGTTGGTTTTTAGTCCTTTTCGCTGAAATGTTACTGCAAAAAAGTTTAGTCTACGTTTCGATTCGGCTTTCTGAGAAAGTTGTTTTCCCCTCGGACGAAAGTTTTGGAAAAGTGGAAGAAATTTGGAGAAATGGCAGAAAGAACAGAAAAGACATTAGGAGCTTTAATGACAGCCCAGCGAGAGTTTGGCGTCGTTAGTTTAATGCGATTAAAGCAGGACAGCAGAATTTAGCTTAAGTCTCGTTATAACCATTTATGTCAGCTAGTTTAGTGATATATATACGCAGTCATAGTCATTTCACTCGGATCTCAACCTGCTTTCATGTCGCCACTGCTTATCATTCATTTTTGATCCCAAAATGAGTTCCTCAAACGCCTGTAAGTACATTTTTGATATATCACAATCTCTTTTAGGTATCCGCACATTTCATCGCAACCATGCTTTTTTTGGATGCACACAAAAAAAACTTTCAATTTTGATGTGGAGAAAATGTAAAACTTTTTGTCGAACTGTTTTTTTTCACATTAGCAAGACTCTCATGTCAGGTGCAGCTTCTAAGCTAAATATAATTCCTATAGCGGAAGAGCAGCAATCCTTTAAGTCCTGGAACCCCTCCTTCTAACATTATAACGTACATTATGAAACGTTATAACATATCGCATACTTAGCGATACAACTTCTATGAGTTATCCATGAATCAGTGCTGGAACGTACAGTTCAGTGGGATACTACAGAAACCGTGGACTTCAACCGGGATCATTGAGGGCCGTCCAGGAGGACACGAACTTTAGTCCAGAAATGATTACAAGCAGTCAGGATTTTCACTGTTTCTTATTGCCTATCATGACCCCTGTTGAAGTCCCACAGTTAATCATTATACAGCTGCTGTAGTACCCCACTGAACTCTCTTTTCCAGCACTGATTCATTGATAGATCATAGAAGTTGTATCGCTAAGTATGCGATAGGTCACGACTCTCTCAGTAATGAATCAGCGGCGAATCAGAGCTAAGACCTTCACAAGTATCTCCAAAACTTCAAAAGCGTAATTATTCCGACTTTCGATACAAAAGTAATGGAATATTTGTGCTCGTGGTGGGTTTTTTTTCTTAAGACAAATTTCGACTTTTTAACTAGCCATTTTTGACGAAATCTTTTTACATCATTCAAAAAGAATTGTTGTCCTGAGCTAAATTTTGAAAAGATATTTCACCTTTGATCAGTTTTCGGAGAGTTATGGGGGTTTAAACACTGCCATTTTGGTCAATTTGGGACAATTAACGCGCGATATATTTCGCGCTGTTAACGCGTAAGCGAGATTTAATCCGTATTAGAAATCGTTCCAAATTGTTTCAAGGAAGCTTATTTGCCATAATTGATTTGTTACAAGTAGCGAAATCTATCCTTTTGTACTCTAAATGGCGTGTGGGGGGATGATTTTTATAAAAATTTTCAGAAATTAGAACAAAAATTTTATTTTGTTTTATTACATTTATTTTCTTAATGTTATTACTGCTCCATAAACCTTAAAAGGCAGTCGGAACATTCAGGGCTTCGCCCTGATACGAGCATTCTTGTCTCATTTTCTTCTTCATTCTTTATTTTACACCCACACAAACATTGCTTTTTGTTCCGACTTTCGAGGAAAATGGAATATTTATGCTCGGTGTGGTTTTTTTATTCAGTCAATTTTCACCGATCGAAAAAATAATTTTCAAATTTTTTTTTTCGTACAACATTGAAGATATTGACTTCGGACCAAGTTAACATCCTCCCCCCTAAACACGTTTAGGGGAAGGATGTTAACTTGGTTCTAAGTTGGATATTTTTCAGCCAATCAGAACCGAGCATTTTACATGCAGCGCTTAGCAAGTTTAATTTAATTTAAGCGCGGGGGTGGAGGATCTTAACTTGGTCAATTAGGGGGGGACGAAAGTCGGAAGAAAAACTTCTCAAAGAGTCGAAGAGTTGACAAAGCCAATCAGAACAAAGATAACATGACTGCTCGTATCAGAGCGAAGCTCTGAATGTTCCGACTGCCTTTTAAGGTTTATGGAGCAGTAATAACATAAAAAATTATATGTAATAAAAATAAAACGAAAATTTGTTTTTCTAATTTTTGAAAATTTTTATGAAAATCATCCCCACACACGCCATACAATGTACAAAAGGATAGATTTCACTACTTGTAACAAATCAATTATGGCAAATAAGCTTCCTTGAAACAATTTGGAACGATTTTTTATACGGATTAAATCTCGCTAACAACGCGTTAATTGTCCCAAATTGGCCAAATTGGCAATCTTTAAACCCCCATAACTTCACAAAAAAAGATTACAGGTAAAATATGTTTTCAAATTTAAGCTCAGCACAACAACACCTTTTGAATGATAAACAAAAATCCCGTCAAAAATGGCTTGTTAAAAAGTCGAAATTTGTCTGAAGAAAAAAAACCACCCCGAGCACAAGTATTCCGTTACTTTCGCGTTGAAAGTCGGAACAACATAACAGCTAGTATCAGAGCGACGCCCTAAAAGTTCCTACAGCCTTTTAACGACAATGAAGTAGTGTTCGGCTTAAAAAAATTTATCAAGTTTCCAAAAAAAGTAGAACCTTTTCAATTTCGTTTGTGATAAAATTCGACCACACTTTTTGAAAACATCCCACTTTCCTTATGTAAAGTACAAAGTGGTTAATTGGCTTACAGCAATGTTTTAGATAGATCAGTAAGCATGCCTCTTTGGAACAAATTATGATTAAATATCCGCTTACGCGTTAATAACGCGTAATATATCGCACGTTAATTATCCCAAATGGGCTCAGCATAACAAAAAATTTTGGTCCTTATAGGAAATCCCGTCAAAAATGGCAAGTTGAAAAATCAGACAATGGTTCGGAGAAATAATACTTCAAGCAACAAAATTCCGTCTTTTTTTAGAATGTTGGAACAATAATATGACTAAGTAGCTTGCCTTGCTAAAATTATTTTGCTTTCAGCATCTTAATTAAAACGTAGCTTCAAATTTCGCTCCATACTCAAACTCAGACGTAGGTCAGATTTTAAAAACACGCAAGCATAATTATCCTTTTCGTCGAGAACCATAGCTGAAAACTTCTCGTACCAGCTTACGTCCGTTTTCAGCATTGTAAGTAAAATTACCACAGCGAAAGTAAAAAAGTACAGCGCACGGCTAGAATAGAGATGTTTTTGAATTTCCAGAACTTTGAAAAGATGATCACCGATGACAACATTTTTTTAAGTTTGACTCAGAGAGTCAATACCTTTTTTTTGTGGTATACTTTTTTTTTCGTTGAAAACTCATATTTAGTTTGAAAAAATCTGCCTGATAAAAACATCACATCGTAAACGCACAGCTAGCTTCTTTGAAAGTCGTAGCAAAAAAGCTGAGCTTAAACTTTTCGTTAAATTGGCCAACTGTAGAGTTATTTCAGAAAATATTTCGAAAAAAGGCTGCTCCGATTTATGCAGAGGATTCTCACAGGCAGTGGTTTTGTCTCTAATTTTGTCCATTTTTCGGCATCAAGTTCCAAGTTCTTTTAATTGCGTTATCTTCGAAACTGATACAACTGTTTATTGACGCCGCTAACTCTTTCAAGATAACTTTTCAGTTCTTCGTTTGTCGTTTCTGCGCGGTATGAAGTGTAAGTCAAGCTCATCAGCTTCCCAAAGAACCAATCTGAGCCTATAGTATCAAGTTCATGGTGTTGTTTGCGAGGATGTTTCTACAGCAAGAACATCTCTCAAACTAGTTCTTTCAAATTTTGATCAAGGGAGCGCTTCAAATTATTTCATCTAGTATGAGTCAAATTTTTGGACCACTATCTTTAATAGCTGCAGAAAAAATGACCAAAACTTTTCAAAAAATTCGTTTATTTGCTCGATGAAATAAAAAAGGTGACTTTTCTACGTGCCGTGATGGTAGTGACAAAAACCTGGATCAAATTATAATCTTAACGGAAGTCGAAAAAGTTAAATCTTCTTATATATTTGTGAACGAAACCTTATGAATGCATCAGTAATAATTCTGTAGTTTAAGTCTTAATATATATATATTTTTAAAAATTTTCAGATAATTTTATTTCAAATTAAATCTTTTATTTATCTTTAGGGGAAAATAACATCAAATGTTTTTGAGCCTTTGACCCGACTGATGGCGGTTATCTAGGCGGAAGTTATTATACCTGAGAAGAAAACAAAACTTTTTTCAGATGATAATTGACTGTAACTGTTTTTTTGCGTGTTTCAGTCACGGGGGGTTATGAACACTTTCACAAGATGCACGCCTGTCTTCAGCCCCACATCAACAACCTCTTAGTAGGATTGAACCACCCCCACCCTCATCACCAGCATCACTCCTCATCTGGGGCAAGTGCGTCGCCCGGTCCAGGGGCGAAGAGACCTCTCAGCTCCGCCCTCTCAGCCTCCAGCCTCAACTCTTCCGACTGCGGACCGTAAGTTCAAATCTGTTTTTCAATTTATTCATTTATAAAAGACACTCGACCTCTGGTCTGTTCATTTGAGCTGTAGGATACTTCTTGAAGATGCACTAATGACACAGCTGAAGTGAACACTTCTCAGATCAGAAATGACGCGCGCTGGCTTCTCGTTGTCCGCACAAATGCTAACACTTGAGTTCTGTAGCGCATATATTACCCGCTGTTGCGCATATTAATGTTGTTTAATTTACGATATCAGGCGTTAAGTGTAGCGCTTATAAGAAAAAACACTGAACTTCTTGAAATTTGATATATGTTTGCATATATTATTCAAAGTTTACGGGCAGTGTAGAAACTAAATTTTTTTAAAAGACAACAATTATTTTATTGCACAAAGTCACGGTTTAAGAGAACTTGAATGATTTCCAAGATAGTTTTCCGTACAAAACTTGGCTTGGGTTCTTCTTAAATTGGTTCAAAAAATGTTTCGTACTTTTTTTTGTATTAAGTATTAACTTTGTCAGAGTGGATGCTAAACACGTGGGGATGGAGCGACTGCAACAACAACAGCAGCAACAGCAGCAGCAGCAGAGCTACAAGCAGGCGAAGAAGGGGGAACAGAGGAGCCAGTCGCAGAGTCCCGCCAGACTAATCACCAACAACCCCAATCTGCCCCCTAGTGCAGGCAAGCAGATATTTGTGAGGGGAGGGGCAGAGGTGTCATGTGCAGTCAGTGTCAGTGTGGGAGGAGGGGTTGGAGGGGAGAGCAGGAATGCAAATCATATGGGGGGAGTGGGAGGAGGGAGAGACAGCAACAGCAACAGTGGCAGTGTGATGGACCATATGGATGAGGGGGCGGGGGAAGGGGAGGAGGGGGAGGAGCTAGAGGAAGATGGGAGGAGTAATGGCCACTTCAAACAGGTGCTGTTCTCAAAATAACCCAAATTGAGTTTACAATGAAAACCTGCCTCGAAAAAAAATTCAAAAAACAGTGATCGTCAACAATGATTTCGAGCTCAGTTTTCACCCAACTCTATCAATTTTTAGTGCTGATTTCGCAATGATTCAGAGCTGGAAAATTTGAAATCTATCGTTGAGTGTTTTTTTTAATTTTAGTAGCAAATTTCAGTGCTGAAACAGCACTGAATTCGCGATGAAAAAGTGAAGCATTTTTGCATCTGTGGAAACTCGTCATTTAGCAACCATGCTCATCCACCAAAATGAAAAATTTCGGCATTAAAATTTAAATGAAAACAAGTTGAACTGACGGCTCGATTTTTAATTTTTCACAAAATGTTTCATGTGTTTAGTCCAGCTAAAACTAAACCCATGAAACTCCGGCTCCGGATATGATTTTGTGATATGTGTCCTGTCTTGGACGACTTGATCAGCTGCGAATGGCCGTCCTTTACCTTAAAAAATAGATCCGATATTTGTTCAATGAAGTTGTTTAAACTTTAACGTCAAAAGTGGAGGAAATTTTAACGAGCACCCTCAAACCTGCACAATTTCAAAATAATTTCTAAGAAAAAGTAGGCACTTTTGGGTTCCATATCTTTCTTTTTATTCTTTGAAAGGCAATTTTCTTTCACATTGCCCAGTATCGAACAAAGCCGCCCAAAACAAGTTAATCTAAGAACATTGAAACTGAATTAAGTCTAAACTGAATGGAATGTTCAAACTGATATCTTACTGAAATATCATTGTAGTATAAGGGTAATAACAAAAAGCATGACTCACTTTACAGTAGAATCATAGATCTGAAAAAAGTCAAGCAAGAACGATAAAAATGTCTCGATTTTACTCTACAGACACATAGCAAAAATCTTTGTGGGTGAACGAGGCATCCAAAAATCTATAAAATCCACAGTGGATGAATGTATTTGAAAATTTATTGGTTTTCCTTGTGAAAAAAAACCTTGTGAGAAAAAAAGGTTGATCATACTAAAGTTGCTGAAAACTAATACATGCTGGGGAAACTTCTGTTGCGATGTATCAGCAGGTTTGGCAATCAATGTTTGCAGCACGAGCAAGACTGCTCTATCAGAGCAAAGCCATTGAATGTTCTGACTGCGCCTTAATTCATATCGAATAATTTTTGGGAAAGGAAATTATTGAAAATCTATAAGTTTTGGACGATATTAAAGTATGAAATTAAGAGTCGTACGAAATTAATAGGAACGATTAGCTAGCCTCAATTTTTTGGATCGAATTAGTTGTGTGAGATAATTTGTCACGCGTTACGGTTTCAGCATTTTCAATAAGCTCTTTAAAGCGCGCATTATTTAGTCCAGAATTTGACCAATTTGGCAATTTTCAAACCCCCTTGAACTTTACAAAAATTATTTGGAGTTGATAAGTTTGGAGTTGACCTTAACAAATAAGTTGGTATCTTAAATGGAGCATAAAAATTTCGTTGAAAAAAATTATTGCGATCGGCGAAAACAACAAAATCCTAACAAAAACAACGGAGTACTTGTGCTCGCCCGCATCCAGTTTTAAGCGTTAATAGTCGATTATATTACGATTTTGGTACCAGTCTCACTAAAATTGCAAACAGTTGATTTTATTTAATTAATAATCGATTATAATCTCTCTTTTTAAAATCAAAACATATTTAGTTATAATCCCTTATAATCGCTTATAATTGTTTATTCTTTCGTATATTTTTCGATACAATTATAATCAATTATAATTGATTATAATCCATTATTTTTATTCAAACTTCTAATTCAATATTTTGCACTAAAAACCATTATAATCTATGATATGATTATAATCCCTTTTGTTTGTCCATTTTGTCTTCGAAATTGCATCTGAATTGCTTATGTTTTATGCTTTTTGTAGACGTTGGTTCCTATTTAGGATGAGAAAAATATTTTTAATGTTTTCCAATCAAATCAAAATTATGATTTTTTTTTTCAATTCTTCCTCATTAGAGTTGTTTTGGGATGCATGTTCTAGGTTTTTTTCTACCACTAAAACATCAGCAAATTGATTTAGATTCATGATTGATTCGGAAGATTTATGTTTCATCTACCGCGGGAACTTTTCCACTTATATGAAAGATCTCTGTGAAACTTTGTTTCGAGGTAAAACTTTGTGTTCAGATGAACCAAAGTGTTCAAAAGATCTCTCTTCTAGAGATTTCTTTATTGACACAAAAATAATAACCCATAAGATATAATTCAAATATAATTTTGAAATGACAAAATTTTGCAAAATAATAGATTACAATCGATTATAATCGATTATAGTTGATTTTAAGGGTTTTTAGTTAAAAAATTATAATCAATTATAATCGATTATAACAGATTATAATCTCTTGCAAAATACAATTAGTTATAAGTCCTTCAAACACCTAAGTTTGTTAATTATGATCAATTATAATCACCATAAAAATCCGTTATAATCGATTATTTACGGCTAAACTTGGATGCGGGCGGGGTTGTTTTTTTTTTCTTCAGATAAATTTTGACTTTTTGACGGAATTTTTTTATACCATTCGAAAGCTATTGTTATGCTGAGCTTAAATAAGACATTTCACCTGTGATCATTTTTAGTAAAATTATGAGGGTTTAAAAATGGCCATTTCGGTCTATTTGGGATAATTAACGCGCGATATACAGTGCTGATTTAAATTAACCGGACAAAGCTAAAAATTTTATTTTTTTTACATCTATTTTTTCAAATTTTCTGCTCCATAGACCTTAAAAGGCAGTTGGATAATTCAGGGCTTCACCCAGATACGAGCCGTCTTGTACATCTTTATATTGGAGGATTAGATTTTAATATGATAGAATTTTATTCATTTTACAAAAACATTTTGAAAAGTAGTTCACACTGAAACGACTCTGAGTAAAAATAGTTTGTAAACTAAGCGTGATTTTAGCTCGATTTGGTTAGTCCGGCTTTAGTGGAATATTTCACCTTACATTTTAGTAATGTTTTCTTGAGTCCTTATCGGTTTTATGACTATGTGAGGTTTCTATTATGTAATGGCGATTAGACACCCCGCATTGACAAAAATAAGATTGCAATCGATTATAAACGATTTTTATACAGATTTTCTACTACTTAAAATCGATTGTAAGTAACTCAATTAGACACTAAAATGGATAATAGAGGGATTTTGTACAGTTCAGATAAAATCGAATTTATAGTCAAGAAAATAGATTTTTTGCGGTATAAAATCTGTACAGAATCTGTATAAAATCTGTATAAAATCGATTATAACACATTGTAATGCTTTTTCTAAGGACCCAAAAAAAAAATGATTATATTGTCTAAAAAGTTGATTATATTTTTCAAAAAAATGATTTTTTTTTACTTTTAGTAGCATGTTGTTTGAAGACTCGGAACAAAAGTTGAATTCAAATTAAACGACACAAACTCAAAAAAATCATCAATATAAACAAGATTCGGTCACAAAAATATTCAATAAAATCATGAAAATCATCAATATAAACAAGATTTTGGACAAAATATATGTGATAAATAAAGAAAATGGTCAGTATAAATTAGATTTTCAGCTCAAAAATAAACAATAAAAATATTTAAAAGCTTTCTATGTAAATCAGGCAGTGAGCAAAAACCAATGTATTAGATAGGGAAAAAGGTTGCTGAAAATCAATTTTTGAGCTCAAAAACATGCAACAAAAATGTACAAAAAAAACAATCATTGTAAATCATCGTTTTAAATACATGAATTTTGAATTCATTTAGAAAATATAGATTTTACGGGAAATAAGTTTGAGTACAGACAAAATTTTTACAAAATGAACAATTTTAATAGATTTTATGCCATATGGTCTTTTAACTCTTGCTCCACACATCCACTCCTGCTACATCAATCTGAAAAAAAATATGCATATAATGCGGCCTTGTTCAGCTACCATTGTGAATCATGTCAATAAACAATAGAGAAGAAGAATCAAAATCATCAGATTTCAATTCTGCTGAACTGTGGGGATCGAAATTTGCAACTTTTGAAGAAAAAAAATCTTGTCTGTGGCCGAAAAACATGATTCACAATCGAAGCTGAACGAGACAACTACGTTGTAAAATGCAATGTAAAACAAAGGGCGCGTCTCAAGGAACCTATTTCGACTCGAGAAAATATGAAAAACAATTAAATTAAGAAGATACTGGGGTTTTCCATTTTTCGACAAAAAACACCTTTTTTCCAGTTTTTTTTGTTCAATTTTATCCCCTCCCCCCACAACGAACACAAACTCAGAGACAACCAAAATCGAATGGAAAAAACTAAAATTTGCCCATATTCTCCTTTTATCAGAAAAAACTATCAGTTTTAATCTTATTTAGAGGGTTTTAACAAAACAAGACACGTAACAAAACATTTTTTTCAAATCGAAATTTTTTCTGCAAAATTGAAACGAAATTACAAAAGATTTTATAGGGTATATAATCTTTATAAAATCTGTACCATAAAAGGCACTTAAAATGGAATTTGGTCACTATCGAATCGATTAAAATAAGCAAAAATAATCAAATTTCTTTTCGAATTTTTTGTAATTTGATAGTTTTTTTTCGATTTTATCCCCCACAACAAAAATCAACTCACAAACAATCAAAATTTAGTGGAAAAAAATTAAATTCGACCATTTTCTCCTTTTAGCAGAAAAAAACCATCAGTTTTGGTCTTATTTAGACGGTTTTATTTAGTTTTTTTTTTCAATTTTGGTTGTTTTCAACAAAACAAGACCCGCAACAAAAAAATTTTTTGAATTCGAATTTTTTTCTATAAAAGTTGAAACGAACTTACAATGGATTTTATAGGGTATATAATCTGTATATAATGTGTATATAATCTGTAAAAAATCTGTATAAAATCTATATATAATCTGTACCAAAAATGCACTTAAAAATGGATTTTGGTAACTATCGAATCGATTAAAAATAAGTATAAATTGCAATCGATTGTAATCGATTTGATGGTCAAAAAAAACATTATTTAGTGCATAAAACTAAACTAGCTTGCTGAACTGTAGATTTTACTTGCGATAATCGATTGCAATCTTAGTTTTGCCAATGCGGGACCTGTATGTCAATATTGATTCGAAGGCAGTTATCCCAATGGCACACTCACGCGGCTATTAGCAAAAATTTGAAAGTCAAACTTTCACATGGAAAAATCATATTTAGACTAGTTTTTGACCCTGATATGAAATAACCCGCCCCAGTCGCCTGTCTGACTATAGGCTATGCAGACTATGTTAATGGATAATTTATTATATTAGGAGGTTGACATCAGCTTGGACGAAGCCGAGATGGAGTTCCTGGAGGAGTTCGAGGAGAGGTATTTGGCTAGGAACAAGAGGGCACTACACCGACAGACACACACGCCGACAACACGACACGACATCTCATCCGCCGCAGCCTCCGCCACAGACCAGCAGCAGATGTTGAGTCTCTACTCGGACATCGTGAACGGAAACTACCTCCTACCCGCGCAACAAACAAGTCCCTCCAACCACCCCCCGAACAGTTGCTCCTCTCACCCCTCGTCCGTCAACATGCCCCTCGGAGGGTCCGAGTGGGAAGTGGTGTCACCAAACATGATGTTTGCGGCGGCAGCAGCCGAGTCGGCAGCTGGTCTGGACGAGGTCGTGTATGAGCCGAGCCCCGAGGTGTGTTCGTGGGAGTACTGTGGCAGTTTTTGTGGGCAGCAATCAGTGCTGGTTAATCACGTGATGCAACAGCATATTCAACCTCAGGTTCGTCTTTTGAAATCTCACGCAAGCCTTAAGAAAAAATGTTCTACAATTTTTGGAGACTATGAACACGTCAAGCTTTTATCAACAGAGTTTTAAAAGGAAGAGTCAAATAAGTATTTAACACAGACTAAAACTACAAAGCTAAACTGAAGTGAACTTCAGACGGATGCGAAGGACTTTGTGTGCAAGTGGGAGGGGTGCGAGAGGCTACAGAAGCCGTTCAAAGCGCAATACATGCTGGTTGTCCATATGCGCCGCCACACCAAGGAACGCCCCCACAAGTGCAATGTGCCAGGTGAGTGGAAAGTAGTGGAGTGGAGTTGAGGGGGGGGGGGGGTGGGTTGACTTTGGAAAGGGGGGGGGGCAGAAAGCAGTTTACAATACTACTTCTGAAACAGCTCCTGTGTCAACCCCCCACCCCCACGTCTGTACACAGGTCACGCTGTCTGTACAAATAGATCGGATAGGTTTCTGTGCTACTCCTCAATCAAAAATAGAATCGTGTCGCTTTGCTTGCGATAGTATCATTGAGATAGTTCCAAGAGTGAGAAGAGAGTACCCTAGTTTAGATTGAGAGGACAGAGTGGGTGTTGCTTACGCTAGTAACAATTTGATAGTATCAAAGAGGTAGTAGAGAATAATCTTGTTTAAATTGAGTAGATAGAGCTGGTGTTGCTTGCGATAGTACAATGAGATAGTATCAAAGATTGAGTAGAGTAATCTAAATTAGATTTAGCCGGATAGTTTGGGTCTTGATTGCGACATTAACTATGAGATTACCAAAGAATGAGTAGCGGGTAGTCTAGATAAGACTGAATAAATAGAGTGGGTGTTGCTTGCAATGGTATCAATGGGATAAAATCAAAGAGTGAGTTGAGTAAAAACTAGATTAGGTTGAGTGAATAGCTTGGGAGTTGCTTGCAATAGTGTCAATGAGGCAGTATCAAAAAGTGAGTAGAGAGTAGTCTAGTTTAGATTGAGTTGGTAGCGTGCGTGTTGATTGCGATAGTAACAATGAGATAGTATCAAAGAGTGAGTCGAGAGTAGTCTAGATTGGATTGGGTGGATAGAATGGATGTTGCTTGCCATAGTTACAATGAGATAGTATCAAAGAGTGAGTCGAGAGTAATCTAGATTGGATTGAGTGGATATAATGGATGTTGCTTGCCATAGTAACAATGAGATGGTATCAAAGATTGATTAGAGCGTAAGCTAGATTAGATCGAATGGAAAAAATGGGTGTTGCTTGCAATAGTATCAATGAGATTGTATCATAGAGTGAGTCGAGAGTAGTCTAGATTGGGTTGAGTGGAAAGAATGGATGTTGCTTGTCATAGTAACAACGAGATATTATCAAAGAGTGAGTTGGGAGTAGCCTAGATTAGATTGGGTGGATAGAATGGGTGTTGCTTGCGATAGTATCAATGAGATAGTATCAAAGCGAGAGTAGAGAGTTTTCTGGATTAGATTGAATGGGTAGAGTGGTTGTTGCTGGTAAAAGTATCAAAAAGATAGTATCAAAGAGTGGGTAGAGAGATGTCTAGATTAGGTTGATTGGATAGAGTGGGTGTTGCTTGCAATAGTAACAATGAGATAGTATCAAAGAGTGAGTCGAGAGTAGTCTAGTTTGGATTGAGTGGTTAGAATGGTTGTTGCTTGCCATAGTGACAATGAGATAGTATCAAAGAGTGAGTCGAGAGTACTCTAGATTGGATTGAGTGGATATAATGGATGTTGCTTGCCATAGTAACAATGAGATGGTATCAAAGATTGATTAGAGAGTAAGCTAGATTAGATCGAGTGGATAGAGTGGGTGTTGCTTGCAATAAATACAATGAGATTGTATCATAGAGTGGGTCGAGAGTAGGCTAGATTGGGTTGAGTGGATAGAATGGGTGTTGCTTGTCATAGTAACAACGAGATAGTATCAAAGAGTGAGTCGGGAGTAGCCTAGATTAGATTGGGTGGATAGAATGGGTGTTGCTTGCGATAGTATCAATGAGATAGTATCAAAGCGTGAGTAGAGAGTTTTCTGGATTAGATTGAATGGGTAGAGTGGTTGTTGCTAGTGAAAGTATCAAAAAGATAGTATCAAAGAGTGGGTAGAGAGTTGTCTAGATTAGGTTGAGTAAATAGAATGGGTGTTGCTTGCGATAGTAAGCGTGAGATAGTATCAAAGATTGAAAAGAAAAAAAAACTATTTCAGATTCAGTGGATAGAATGAGTGTTGCTTGCAATAGTGACATTGATGTAGTATCGAAGAGTGAGTAGAGTGTAGTCTAGGTTAGATTCAGTAGATACAGTGGGTGTTGCTTGCAATATTATCAATTATATAGTATCAAAGAGTGAGTAGAAGTCAACTATATTAGATTGACTGGATAGAGTGGGTGTTGCTTGCGATAAGAACAAAGAGATAGTATCAAAGATTGTGTAGAGAATAAACTAGAATAGAACGAATGGATCGAGTGGGTGTTGGTCGCAATAGTATCAAGAGATAGTATCAAAGAGTGAGTAGAGAGTAAACTAGATTAGATGAAGTGGACATAGTTGGTGTTGCTCGCACTAGTAGAGGGTAGTCTAGATTAGATTGATTGGATAGAGTGGGTGTTCCTTGCGATAAAAACGTAGTATTAAAGAGTGAGTAGACAGTAAACTAGATTAGATGTAGTGGAAAAAGTGGGTGTTGCTTGCGATAGTATCAATGATATAGTATCAACGAGTGAGTAGAAAGTAGTCTAGATTAGATTGAGTGATAGAGTGGGTGTTGCTTGCGTTAAGAACAATGAGATAGTATCAAAGATTGTGTAGAGAATAAACTAGAATAGATCGAATGGATCGAGTGGGTGTTGGTCGCAATAGTATCAAGAGATAGTATCAAAGAGTGAGTAGAGAGTAAACTAGATTAGATGAAGTGGACATAGTTGGTGTTGCTCGCACTAGTAGAGGGTAGTCTAGATTAGATTGATTGGATAGAGTGGGTGTTCCTTGCGATAAAAACGTTGAGATAGTATTAAAGAGTGAGTAGACAGTAAACTAGATTAGATGTAGTGGAAAAAGTGGGTGTTGCTTGCGATAGTATCAATGATATAGTATCAACGAGTGAGTAGAAAGTAGTCTAGATTAGGTTGAGTAAATAGAATGGGTGTTGCTTGCGATAGTAAGCGTGAGATAGTATCAAAGATTGAAAAGAAAAAAAAACTATTTCAGATTCAGTGGATAGAATGAGTGTTGCTTGCAATAGTGACATTGATGTAGTATCGAAGAGTGAGTAGAGTGTAGTCTAGGTTAGATTCAGTAGATACAGTGGGTGTTGCTTGCAATATTATCAATTATATAGTATCAAAGAGTGAGTAGAAGTCAACTATATTAGATTGACTGGATAGAGTGGGTGTTGCTTGCGATAAGAACAAAGAGATAGTATCAAAGATTGTGTAGAGAATAAACTAGAATAGATCGAATGGATCGAGTGGGTGTTGGTCGCAATAGTATCAAGAGATAGTATCAAAGAGTGAGTAGAGAGTAAACTAGATTAGATGAAGTGGACATAGTTGGTGTTGCTCGCACTAGTAGAGGGTAGTCTAGATTAGATTGATTGGATAGAGTGGGTGTTCCTTGCGATAAAAACGTTGAGATAGTATTAAAGAGTGAGTAGACAGTAAACTAGATTAGATGTAGTGGAAAAAGTGGGTGTTGCTTGCGATAGTATCAATGATATAGTATCAACGAGTGAGTAGAAAGTAGTCTAGATTAGATTGAGTGATAGAGTGGGTGTTGCTTGCGTTAAGAACAATGAGATAGTATCAAAGATTGAGTAGAGAGTTAACTAGATTAGATCGAATGGATAGAGTGGGTGTTGCTCGCAATAGTATCAAGAGATAGTATCAAAGAAGGAGTAGAGAGTAAACTAGATTAGATGAAGTGGACATAATTGGTGTTGCTCGCAATAGTAGAGGGTAGTCTAGATTAGATTGAGTGGATAGAGTGGGTGTTGCTTGCAATAGTGACAATGATGTAGTATCGAAGAGTGAGTAGAGTGTAGTCTAGGTTAGATTCAGTAGATACAGTGGGTGTTGCTTGCAATATTATCAATTATATAGTATCAAAGAGTGAGTAGAAGTAAACTATATTAGATTGACTGGATAGAGTGGGTGTTGCTTGCGATAAGAACAAAGAGATAGTATCAAAGGTTGTGTAGAGAATAAACTAGAATAGATCGAATGGATAGAGTGGGTGTTGCTCGCAATAGTATCAAGAGATAGTATCAAAGAGTGAGTAGAGAAAAAACTAGATTCGATGAATTGGACATAGTTGGTGTTGCTCGCACTAGTAGAGGGTAGTCTAGATTAGATTGAGTGGATAGAGTGGGTGTTCCTTGCGATAAAAACATTGAGATAGTATTAAAGAGTGAGTAGAGCGTAAACTAGATTAAATGTAGTGGAAAGAGTGGGTGTTGCTTGCGATAGTATCAATGAGATAGTATCAACGAGTGAGTAGAAAGTAGTCTAGATTAGATTGAGTGATAGAGTGGGTGTTGCTTGCGTTAAAAACAATGAGATTGTATCAAAGATTGAGTAGAGAGTTAACTAGACTAGATCGAATGGATAGAGTGGGTGTTGCTCGCAACAGTATCAAGAGATAGTATCAAAGAGTGAGTAGAGAGTAAACTAGATTAGATGAAGTGGACATAATTGGTGTTGCTCGCAATAGTAGAGGGTAGTCTAGATTAGATTGAGTGGATAGAGTGGGTGTTCCTTGCGATAAAAACATTGAGATAGTATTAAAGTGTGAGTAGAGAATAAACTAGATTAGATTGAGTGGATAGAGTGGAGTGAGAAGAGAGAATTCTACAAATCAAAGAGTGAGAAGAGATTAATATAGAAAAAACTGAGTAGATAGAGTGGGTCTTGCTTGCGAAAGTATCATTGAGATGGTATCAAAGAGTGAGTACTGAGTAAACTAGATTAGATTGAGTAGATAGAGTACGTGTTGCTGGCACTGATATCAATGAGATAGTATCAAATAGTGAGAAGAGATTATTTTAGATTAGACTGAGTAGATAGATTGGGTGATGCTTGCGATATTAACAATGAGATAGTATCAAAGAGTGAGTAGAGATTAATTTAGATTAGATTGAGTAGATAGATTGGGTGATGCTTGCAATATTAACAATGAGATAGTATCAAAGAGTGAGTAGAGAGTAATCTAGATTAGATTGAGTGCATATAGTGTATGTTGCTTGCAATAGTATCAATGAGATGGTATCAAAGAGTTAGCAGATAGTAGTCTAGGTTAGATTGAGTAGATACAGAGGGTGTTGCTGGCACGAATATCAATGAGATAGTATCAAAGAGTGAATAGAGAGTAAACTAGATTAGATTGAGTGGATAGAGCGGTGTTGCTGACAATAGATTAATGAGATAGTATCAAAGGGTGAGTAGAGAGTAAACTAGATTAGATTGAGTGGATAAAATGGATGTTGCTTGCGGTAGTATCAATGAGATAGTATCAAAGAGTGAGTAGAGAGTAAACTAGATTAGATTGAGTAGATAGATTGGGTGATGCTTGCAATAGAAACACTGAAATAGTATCAAAGAGTGAGCTCAGAGTAACCTAGATTAGATTGAGTAGATAGAGTGGTTGTTGCTTGAAATAATACAATGAGATTGTATCAAGGAGTGAATAGAGATTAAACTAGATTAGATTGAGTGGATAAAGTGGGTGCTGCTGACAATAGATTAATGAGATAGTACCAAAGGGTGAGTAGAGAGTAAACTAGATTAGATTGAGTGGATAAAGTGGGTGTTGCTTGCGATAGAATCAATGAGATAGTATCAGAGAGTGAGTAGAGAGTAATCTAGATCAGATTGAGTAGATAGATTGGGTGATGCTTGCGATTGTAACAATGAGATAATATCAAAGAGTGAGTTCAGATTAGTCTAGATTAGATTAGTAGATAGCGTGGATGTTGATTGAAATAGTACAATGAGATTGCATCAAGGAGTGATTAGAGAGTAAACTAGATTAGATTGAGTAGATAGATTGGTTGATGCTTGCGATAGTAACACTGAAATAGTATCAAAGAGTGAGCTCCGAGTAACCCAGATTAGGTTGAGTAGATAGAGTGGTTGCTGCTTGAAATAGTACAATGAGATTGTATCAAGGAGTGAATAGAGATTAAACTAGATTAGATTGAGTGGATAGAGTGGGTGTTGCTGACAATAGATTAATGATATAGTATCAAAGGGTGAGTAGAGAGTAAACTAGATTAGATTGAGTGGATAAAGTGGGTGTTGCTTGCGGTTGTATAAATGAGATAGTATCAAAGAGTGAGTAGAGAGTAAACTAGATTAGATTGAGTAGATAGATTGGGTGATGCTTGCGATAGTAACACTGAAATAGTATCAAAGAGTGAGTTCAGATTAGTCTAGATTAGACTGAGTAGATAGCGTGGGTGTTGCTTGAAATAGTACAATGGGATTGCATCAAAGAGTGATTAGAGAGTAAACTAGATTAGATTGAGTAAATAGAGTCTCAACCTAATCTAGTTTACTCTCTAATCACTCTTTGATACAATCCCATTGTACTATTTCAAGCAACACCCACTCTATCTACTCAATCTTATCTAGACTAATCTGAACTCACCCTTTGATACTATTTCAGTGTTACTATCGCAAGCATCACCCAATCTATCCACTCAATCTAATCTAGTTTACTCTCTACTCACTCTTTGATACTATCTCATTGATACTACCGCAAGCAACACCCACTTTATCCACTCAATCTAATCTAGTTTACTCTCTACTCACCCTTCGATACTATCTCATAAATCTATTGTCAGCAACATCCACTCTATCCACTCAATCTAATCTAGTTTAATCTTTATTCACTCATTGATACAATCTCATTGTACATAATGAGATTGTATCAAAGAGTGAATAGATATTAAACTAGATTAGATTGAGTGGATAGAGTGGGTGTTGCTGACAATAGATTAATGAGATAAATGAGGTAGTATCAAAGAGATAGTATCAAAGAGTGATTAGAGAGTAAACTAGATTAGATTGAGTAGATAGATTGGGCGATGCTTGCGATAGTAAAACTGAGATAGTATCAAAGAGTGAGTTCAGAGTAGTCTAGATTAGATTGAGTAGATAGAGAGGGTGTTGCTTGAAATAGTACAATGAGGTTGTATCAAAGAGTGAATAGATATTGAACTAGATTAGATTGAGTGGATAGAGTGGGTGTTGCTGACAATAGATTAATGAGATAAAATTAAAGGGTGAGTAGAGATTAAACTAGATTAGACTGAGTGGATATAGCTGGTGTTGCTTGCGGTAGTGTCAATGAGATAGTATCAAAGAGTGAGTAGAGAGTAAACTAGATTAGATTGAGTAGATAGATTGGGCGATGCTTGCGATATTAACACTGAGATAGTATCAAAGAGTGAGTTCAGAGTAGTCTAGATTAGATTGAGTAGATAGAGTGGGTGTTGCTTGAAATAGTACAATGAGATTGTATCAAACAGTGAATAGATATTAAACTAGATGAGATTGAGTGGATAGAGTGGGTGTTGCTGACAATAGATTAATGAGATATCATCAAAGAGTGAGTAGAGAGTAAACTAGATTAGAGTGAGTAGATAGATTGGGTGATGCTTGCGATAGTAACAATGAGATACTATCAAAGAGTAAGTACAGAGTAGTCTGAGTATATAGAGTGGGTGTTGCTTGAAATAGTACAATGAGATAGTATCAAAGGGTGAGTAGAGAGTAAACTAGATTAGATTGAGTAGATAGATTGGGTGATGCTTGAAATAGTACAATGAGATAGTATCAAAGAGTGAGTAGGGAATAATCTAGAAAAAACTGAGTAGATGGAGTGGGTGTTGCTTGCAATAGTACCAATGAGATTGTATCGAAGAATGAGTAGAGAGTAGTCTAGATTAGATTGAATGGATAGAGTGGGTTTTGTAATCTGGCCGGGTTTGCACTGTTGTACTGCATGTGTACTTGTGTAGGTTGTGGCAAGTCCTACCCCCGTCTGGAGAATCTGAAAACACACATACGGTCGCACACGGGGGAGAAGCCCTACAAGTGTGCCATTGCGGGATGCAACAAGGCCTTCAGCAACGCCTCCGACAGAGCCAAACACCAGAACAGAACACACTCCAACCAGGTCAGGCCAAGTTACGCCAAGTAGTTTTAATTATGTAGTCACTTATTACATCCACTTGCATTAGACTAGATACTCCGACTTACAAGCACTTTCACAATTTATTACAAACATACAAAATTTTACAAAAATATTGGTCTTGTTCTTTGGTAAGTTTGTTTTTGGGCGACTTTTTCGCTCTAAAAAAGACACAGCAGAAAAATTTTTTGTTGAATATATGACGGACATAGTTTGGCAAAAAATGGAAAATTCAGTAATATACACTTACTAAAACAGCTAAAGATGGTTCGTCACTAATTGACTCATGATGATCCGCAAAATCAGGCAAATCATGCTTCTATTAGTTTTTCAGCTCTTAATTCTGGGAAACGTTTATCTCATTTGTAGGACAAAAAACCATTAAAAATTAACGGACGTGTTTTTAGAAACCTTACAAGTGTCGCGTTGAGGGCTGCGAGAAACGATACACAGACCCGAGCTCACTTCGGAAACACGTGAAAAGTGTGCATGTTCTGTCCTCTACCTCTAGTGGGGGTGGGGGTGCGGGCGAATGCAAACGTGTCCCTTCAACCCTTCCTCACGCCATCAGTGGAACAACACAGCAGGCCAGTGTCAACAACCCCAACCCCAACCCCCCTAGGACAGCGACACATCTGGGGGGCCCGGCTGGTGCTGCTGGGATGAGAGGAGGAGCAGCAGCTGGATCCCATCAAGTAGCACATGTTGTCACTGGGGGTTGTCGACCAATTCAGCCCAGACAGCATCAAGGCCCTGCAGCCGGCAACAGTGTACCTTTATACGTAAGACACCACCTTGCTTCACCCTTTGAAATGAGTTTTTCATCCTCTTTTCGTCGGCTACTTTTGAAACTTCCTTACAAGGATCATTTCCCGCCCTGTTGTTTTTTGAAGGTTTTAAACAAACGTTAACATTGCCCAATTGTACTGAAATTTTTGCATGTACGGTAATTAAATAATATTCCAAACACGTTTAGCGTTCATCTAATACCTTTATGATTGTGCTTTTATGGATGTAATCCATCATTGGTGACAATATAAATGATTTCATGGTCTAAATGTGCAACAATAATGGATTATAATGACAGCCTGTTAGACAACACTTTCCCATTAAGATCGATTTTTATCTATAAAACTCAGGTGCGGGCTAGACAATACTAATCGAATAATCAGACACTTTCTTGGTACAATTCGTATCCTTTGCCGTACCTTTTTCCTACCACGTTTCATCTTTTCTATCCTATACAATATCCGGTGGTCTATATGGTTGAATTTTGGTTCGATCTCTGCTTCACCATACTTCGATCTAAGTCTTGACCATTCTCGTTGTTATTTTGTTACAACTCAAGGCGTGATTCTGACCCTTATTTTTATCATAATTTTAAAGTTGAAACCATCATATCATAATGTCAGAAATTCAAATTTGAAATCAAAAACGGGTCCAAACTAAATTGATTGTATCAGGGGTGGATTTAGGGGGGGGGGGGGCTCTTTCTCAGGGATTTGAACCCTCGCCAACCTTCGGTATTAAATTATGATATTTTTTTTTCGGCCGACCAACCATAAAACTTTTTATAGGCGCCTCTGGCGCCAATGTATTTTAATTTTAAAGTGGAGCGAGCGCCAACCAAACGCAATTTTTTCGTCAAATTTTCCAAAAAGTGGCCAAAAACTCATATTTTGACCTGTGCTTTTTTGTCAAAATAGTGTCTTTTTATTATCCTGAGATTTCCCGGAAAATCAATTTGGTTGACCAAAAAAAAGTAGGCAAATTTTTCAATAAATTTTTGAAAATCCCCCCTCGACAGAATCCTGGATCCGCCCCTGGATTGTATGATCTTAGCTAAATTAAGCACTTACCAGCACGTTCAAATATGAACTAGTGTATAAAGCACTTTAGATTGATCAATATAAAAACAGATTCAAGACACATCAAAAGACTGCGGCCTTAAGAAATTAATGGATAAATATCAACCAACCTACCTAAGAAGAAAACAATTCCCTTCCATTTTGAGTACTAGAGTTATAAATATGAAAACAGAGTTTTCTTGTCACCTTCTATGATTGTTGACAGTATATCTCTTGGAATTGTGTTACTGGCATCGGTGTCATTTATGAATGCTCTGCCGTATTCCAAAAATTCCTATACCGGCGCTGCAACTAGCTCCTTTTTCACTCGTCCTTAGGCATCCGGCTCGAATTGCTCTAGTTCTACTTGCTACCATCTTCTTAGTAGGTGCAGATGACTAATTAAACTGTTTTTAATGCAAGCAAATTTTTCGAAAAACGAACAATAAAGGTTGCAGCAACCCAAAAAATGCATATCTAAATGAAAGAATTACTAATTTAAAATATATTATTGATGAACCTCAAAAGGAAAGAAAAAACATCAAAACTTTTTGGATTTTTTTAAAATCATACTCCCCTCCACACTATGGAAACTAATATCAAGTGATACATTTTGCAAAGAGCAAAGTATTAAATTGACCAAAAAACAGTTCTTAGTCCAATTTGGAATGACTTCTAATACGGATTAGATCTCCGCTTACGCGTTAATAGCGGGAAAAATAACGCGCGCTGATTTTCCAAAGGGAATTAAATTGCTAAACTGACAATTTTCAGACCACATAGCTTACGAAAATGATCACAGAAGAAATTTTATTTTATTTTTAGAATTGAGCTTAGGACAACAATACCTTGTGAATGATATTTAAAAAATTTTTATCAAAAAAAGCTAGTTATGGTCGAAATGGTCTGAAGGAAAAAAAAACACCCCGAGCACAAACATTTTGTCATTTTCCTCGACAAGACTGCTCGTATCAGGGCAAAGCTTTGAATCTTTAGACTACCTTTTAAGGTCTATGAGGAAGTTTTAAGGTCTATGCAGGCCTTTTAAGGTCTAAGGATAAGTTTGAAAATGATTGAGCTTTTTTTTGAAAACCATCCCCTACACAATGTACTAAGCACAAAGTGGTAGATTTCCCTCCAAGTAACGTCGCATTTATGACAACTAGCCTTGTTTCAATCAGTTTGGAAAGGTTTGTACGACTGATTGAATATCCGCTCACGCAAAAATAGCATGAAGTATATCGCGCGCTAATCGTCTCAAATTGGCCATAATAGCAACCTAAACCCTCATAACTTTAGAAAACTCGGCTCTTTTCCAGTTTCCCCCCCTTCCAATTAATTTTTGAAAACCGTATTTAACGTTGTAATAATGCAATGAAAATTGGCATGGTGAACAAATTGACAATTATGAACAGATTTGTTCTTCATATATTACAGCGTAACATCACGCATTTAGCCGTAATAACACGTGAAACAAAAATAAAACTCGGTATTTTTAAAGGTGGGAGGAAAGTGGAAAAGAGCCGAAAACTCTTATTTAAGCCCCTATAACTTTACAAAAAGAAAGATTCACTTAACCCCCATAAAATCACAAAGATTTTTGGTTTCATTGAGTAACGTTCGTTATATGGATTTTTCAAACTTTTTTTTCCATTTTAAGGCTCACAAAATTTGAATTTACTGTCAAAAAGACTAATTTCGATGTTTCATTCAGCGCTTATTTAGCAATAAGTTTTTTAAAAAAACTAAAAAAAATGTACACAAATAAGAAAAAACTTTTAAAAATTTTTTATAAGTTTTTTTGTTTGTTATTCACTTTTAAAAAAAAATTTTTGTCAATCTTGTCTCATTAACTAACCTATTACGCTTCTGTATAGTTCTTGAATCATGCTACTTACCAAAGCGACTCTAATTTGAATAAACAAAAAAAGTAACCTTTTTTAAATTTGTTTATGAAAATGGTCGGAACTTGCACAGCACTCGGCTATCTTCATTCCTTCCTTGCTGTTTTAAGTATTAAGGGGTTAATACAGATTTTAAAGGGGCATGTTTGTTATAAACAGATGTCCCCCCCAGTTTCTGGTTTTCCAACCTAGCGCACTGGATAGGCGCACAATTTTGTGTCTGTATATTCTTGGATTTCAGAAACAAGCCTTCAAACATGTTCCAAAATGTAAGTGGGTTCCACTTACAAAATTTCCGTGAATTCCACGTGCAAACATTTGTAACGTAATTTTTGTCGGCATATTAAATTTGTTGCGGATTTCGCAACGAGCAGCTATAGCTGGTTGTTCCGAATTCCGCAAACGTAGCGGTTTCCGCAAAAGTGAGCGGATTCAGCAAATTTACGCGGATTCAGCATATTTACGCGGATTCAGCTTACAATTTGCGGATTTTACTTACAGTTGCGGATTCAGGACAGCTGAAATCTACTGAACACATATTTTATTGTTTGCTTATGGATTCCATAAACTAATCCGGATTCCGCACGTTTTGTTGCGGATTCCGCAAAATTGCCTGTTTTTGGAGCCATTTTGAACAATACAGGGTTTTAATTGTTTGTCAATGGAATCCAAAACAACAAATAACATCAAAAAAAAGTAACAGAGTTGCGGAGTCCACAACAAATCTAAATTTGACCTGTTGCGTAATTCGTTTACAATTCACAAAATGCACAGTTTGGCCTCGTAATGTGTTACGAACGAGTCAGTTGCCCACTGCCCAAGGTTAAGTTTGGCAAAGTACGTTTTGATAAGAATGATTAACAGCTAATATGATCTTATTGATTCCTACTGCGTCAAAATAGAATTGAGCAATCCTCTGTCGATTCATGTCATGTAGAGGGGTCCCTTTTTCCCCAAATACCCAATACCCATTTAAAAAAATTAAAAACTTTATTTCAAAAATAGGACGAAAGGACGGATTGTTTTTTTCTTGCATGAGGGATTCTAAGTTGCATCCCTTTCAGGACAACAATACCTTTTGAATGATATTTTAAAATTCTACCAAAAAGTGCTTGTTAATAAGACGAAAACTGTCTGGAGAAAAAAAAAATCACCCGAGCCGAGCACAGATATTTCGTGACTTTCTTCGACAAGACTGCTCGTATCAGGGCAAAGCCCTGAATCTTTAGACTACCTTTTAAGGTCTATGGAGCAGTTTGTATTCTGAAAGTTGATGAGTTTTTCAAAAAAAAATTCTAAAATTCTAAAAAAATCCCCTACACAATGTACTAAGTATAAAATGATAGATTTTGCTCCAATTTTTGTCACATCTATGACAGCTAGCCTTGTTTCAACCACCTTGGAAAGGTTTGTACGACTGATTAAATATCCGCTCACGCAAAAATAGCACGAAGTATATCGCGCGTTAATCGTCTCAAATTAGCCATATTAGCAACCTAAACCCTCATAACTATAGAAAACTCTTCTTTAAACCCCCATAACTTTAGAAAAAATGATTTTCTAAATTTCCATAATTCACAAAATTTGATCTCATGTGAAATTTATATGTTTTTCAATTTGAACTCAGGACGAGAAAAAGTCCTGATATGTTTTTTAGTTCAATTGAGTAACGTTCGTTAAATGGATTTTTTAAACTTTTTTTTCCACTTTTAAGCTCACAAAAATAGATTTTACTATCAAAAAACTAGTTTGCGATGTTTAATTCAGCGCTAATTTAGCAAAAAAAAATCAAAAACTTTTTTAAATTATTGTACACAAATAAGTAAAAACTTTTAAAATTTTTTTAGTTATTTTGTTTGTTATTCATTTTTTAAGAAAAATTTTGTCGATCTTGTATAATTAACTAACCTATTTCTTGTTTCTATGTTGCATCTCTTTCCTGGGAAAAGTGAGGATTTATACGAGAAAAAGTGCTTTTTTAATGTGTTTTAGATCCAACTTGAAACTTTGACCTCAGTCTACCTTCCGATTTTTCTAATTGGATTGCCCCGAGCTGCTAGCTTTAAACTCTTGAGCCTGTCTTAGTTACGTTTTTTAGTTACGTGAACGCTAGTTAAGCATAGTCAATGATGTACCTTGTAAAAAATACAACAGAATCACCAAAAAAATGTACAAATGCATTGATTGTTTAGATTGAACCTCCCGAAATGACATCAGCAGTGACACTCTCCTCGCCCCTGCCATTATTCATCGACAGTCCCCACTCCTGTCCTTCGCGATACGCGGGGGGACACCAGGCCTCGGCCAGCCTGCCCACATCCCCCCTCATGATTCACAAATCTCTCACTCCTCACACCGTTTTACCCGCATTCACTGAAATCATTTGTGCGCCGACCGATATGAAACCATGTACTGTTGTCAGTGCCACTGGGATGCAACCACCAGCCGCTCATCCCGTTTGTGGAACCCCCTTTGCTGTCCCGCCAATCACTTACCTCCCGGGTCATGTTGTGAAACATGCACAAAATGGACCCAATTTGTCACAAATGCAAGCATCAGGTGGTTACACGCCTGATAAATGTTTACACAATTCTCATCAAAGTCATCAACACGCTATGACGCACCATTCTCAATTTGTACAACCAGCTCTAGATTCTTTCAAGCAGTACAGATCTAATGTAGGAGGAGGAGGCTCTCCTTTCAACACGCCCCAGTTCAATCGCCGAGCTGCCAGAAGTTTATCCTCACGAAGATTGCCACCACCGCCGCCACACTTGCAAAATCATCAGCAAAACCCGAATGCGATCATGAAAAACGAAATGACTCACATTATTCTGACGGATCAAAACGGAGCACCCATTAGCATCTATCACCCTGTCTGTTCCAAACAGGAAGACCAGCGTGGCCATCGAGACCAGGCCTCCGAACACCAAACTATAAGCCAACACCAGCACTTCCACATGCACCACCCGGTGGAAAACAACAACAACAACAACTGCTCCGCGGCTGGCGCCGGAGGAGGGGGAGGGGGCTTGAGTCAAAACTACGAGGATGAGCTGTCGAGCGGGCTGTCGTCCTGTCACATGAGTTCAATCATTGAAGGTCGCTACGACCACAGTTCTCTGGGGACGAAGCAGAGAAACAACAGCTTGTCCTCCAACGGAGGAGGCGAAAGCAAGTTTGTCCAGTACTGCAGCGGAACCAACGGAAGCAGATAAAGCACAGGAGCAGAATCGAAAGAGTCAACATTTGCGAGATCAAATCTTCTAATTTGTACCATAGATAATGTTTCATACAATTCATCTGTCTGTAGATTTACACTAATATCATAAAACTGAATGAGCCGCAAGAAGATAGAACTTTTCAAAAAGGAAACCTTCGCTTTTCAGTTGAATAGTTTTCCCACCTATTTTCAAAAGCATGACCTAGTTTTTCAGTCTTTTTCAGTCGTCATCATTACCGCAGAGTTACTGCAGGGATTCTTGCGCAGATCGATCTGAGCGGCGATGCATGCTACAGGCTATTGTTTTTCGCAGCACATCAGCTGTTTGGTCTGTGGGGGCGACCGGGGAGCCTTTTCCACTGTTTTACTATGCATCCGGGCTGAGGTGTTCGACTCATGATTCCACCGACACAGTCGAACGGAGTCCGATTCTCGTCGCAAATTAAGACGGTCGAACGAACACTGTAGTCGAACAAAGTCGAATCATGGGTCAAACAGGGTCGAATCATGAGTCGAACAGGGTCGAATCATGAGGCGAACAGGGTCGATAGAGTCGACAGGGTCGAATCATGAGTGGAACACGGTCGAATCATGAGTTGAACAGGCTCGAATCCTGAGTCGAACAGGGTCTAATCATGAGTCGAACAGGGTCGAATCATGAGTCGAACACGATCGAAACATGGGTTGAACAGGGTCGAACAGGGTCGAATCATGAGTCGAACAGGGTCGAATCATGAGTCGAACAGGGTCGAATAGAGTCGAATCATGAGTCGAACAGGGTCGAATCATGGGTCGAATCATGGGTCGAATCATGAGTCGAACAGGGTTGATAAAGTCGAACAGGGTCGAATCATGCGTCGCAAATTAAGACTGTCGAACGAATACTATAGTCGAACAAAGTCGATTCATGGGTCGAACCGGGTCGAATCATGAGTCGAACAGGGTCAATCATGAGTCGAACAGGGTCGAATCATGAGTCAAATAGGGTCGAATCATGAGTCAAATAGGGTCGAATCATGAGTCAAACAGGGTCGAATCATGGGTCGAATCATGAGTCGAGCCGCCACGAGAAGGCCTACACATGGTCTCAACGTAAAATATGATGCAGCAGCTGGATTAGAGGATAAAGTTGAAGTTGTGATACGACCCGGCAAACTTAAAACCGAAGAGTTACTTGTTCTTGTACCTAGGAAAAGAGAATCAGAGACAATTCAGAAAACAGAAGTCAAAACCTCAACGTAAACGCTGCGTCAGCAAAAATTGTACAATTCAAAGGAAGGTTTCAAACGCAGACAAATAGTGGCACTCGGGAAGTATAAACTTATTTGTAGACATCAACAAAAGCATAAAAATCTGGAACATTTCCACGCTGAAGTCGTAGTTCATGCCGTGGAGACTGCGGGGGCGAGGAAATAGAGTGGGTACGTTCCAGGTCAACGGTAAACACCAATTTTTTTCCAACATACAATAACACAGACTCCGAATACATCAAACATAAACAAACACTAACAATAACACCCAACGGAGAAAAACCAATAACAGAGGTCGAGGATAAAAAACAACAAAAATAGTCAAAACCAAAATAACGGAAGAGGACAACAGAATGAGAGGGGCTAAAAAACAGAAATCAAACAGAACTCATTTCAAAAGAAACAAAATCGACAACAAGCATCTATTATATTTTGCGGCTGCCCAAGTTGGGGTTTTTGACACATGATTTGACAGAAACTGTCAAATGATGTCCGAGTTTCGTTGTAGTTCAGGACGCTTCGGTTGATTCCCGGTATAGGCGAAAAATTTCCGATGAAGTTAGAACAAATTCGAACAATGCCCGGTAAAGTCGAACAAAGTCTAACAATGTCCGGTATAGTCGGACAAAGTCGAACAATGTCCGGTAAAGTCGAACAAAGCCGAAAACGGACATCTTTCGACTCGAAAAGTCGAAATCGAACGTCGTTTGACTGAAAAAGTCGAAAACGGAAATCGTTCAACCGTTTCGGTCGAATCAAGAGTCGAGTACCTCAAGACGAATCTCAGGGTTTTGTCGTTTTTCCTGTTGAGTTGTTGCATGCGGCTGACTGAAAGCCATTGTTGCCAAGACTCTTCGGCGTAGTCTAGGATGATTTTTATCAGGCTCCTGCTCCTCCATCCTCTTGCTTTCCCAGTTTCACCATTTACCACCTGCCAATGGCTTATTAACCACTGTCTTATTTGTTAACTTCTTATTCCGATGAATGCCCAACCGATAAACTTAGGACGGTGTTGGAAAAAACAGTTTTTTTTGCCAAAAAAGTTATTTGGACGGATTTTTCCAAAATAACAAAACAAATAAATATCTCAACAGAATTGATTGAACTTAAGCACTGAATGTTTTGAAAATTTTCAAAACAAGAAAAAAGTCCATCAGAGCTACGGAGAACTTAGTCAAGAGGAGAGTTTGTTACTGAAAGTTTTGAATATACAGGAATTTTTTTCGAATTTCGCAAATCAAAGGGATCTCGCGGTGATGGAAAACAAAATAAGGTGACTTTTTTCAAATTTCAGTATCATTATCAACAATTTAGGTGCTATTTTGTTAGGCAGTGAACATAGAGTTACAGGACTAAAGTTAGAGAACTGAGTTTAAGCCCGGGGTGGCCTTCTCAGAGTAATTTAGGATTACGTACACCGCCTGTTCCTTGCGCTATCTAATTTTCGGCCGGATAGATTCGTGCAGTTTTCAGTCTCATACTGGTCCTAGTCCTAGTTTCATTTCCTAGCCTCAACATATTTAAAATGTGCTGGTGTATTTGCGAGTTTACAGTGGAAGAACAACTGCTTTCTATGTTAAATTAATTTTTCTCTGGCTGAAACTATAAATGGTTTCAGCTTTACATATTAACATGAGCTTGAGTTATGGATCACGATTGGTTAGTTATACTTATTTTACAGTGATAATTGTCAAGGAATACAATCAGATATATAAAACACTTGTTTTGAACTGGTTCTACCTATCCGAAGTTTAGGGAGTTTCCTGTGAAAGATGGATGGAGTGTTTTCCAAATTCTTTGAGAAGAATGCCAATTGCTCAAGTCAGTGAAATAGTTGTTGTCAAGAGAGATAGAGATTGAAGAGATTTGTAGAGAGTCAAAAGATTGCAGACTCGTATTGATGATGAGCAGCCTCGATTATTTGTTCGTATTGATCAAACAGCGATATAGGGTTTGACTTCTCTGAGTGAAGCGACAAGTGACTAGGATACGTTTTTTGAGTTAAATATCAAGTTGGCCATTGTTCTTATTCAATGAATACCTTTATTGAGATATTGGCTTCATACTTTATATCCTACGAGTGCTGTGACTTCTGCAAGCAACAGCATTAGGTTTGCCATTCCAGAGTTGGAACATCGTCGAGTTCCATCTCCCTTTGCTGTTTGTTTCTTTTGCTCTGTGAAGTCTATTACATCAAACATATCTGCATCTCTTAGTAATCACAGTTTTAGTTATAATCGTTGTTAGTTATCTTCTCAAAAGCGTTTCAATTATATCAAAAATTAAAAAAAAATGCTTACACTAGAGCTACTTTTGGCAAAATAGAGTGGATTATGTCTTATGCGTGGTTAGAGCGCGGTAGGTGAAGCCGGCTACAGAGCATGCTCAGGACCTCGTTTATTGGTGAGTGTGGCCAGTTGTAGTATACTTTTGAGCTTGTTTCTGAGCAGAGTTTTTTTTGCCCATAAATTTTTCATTCTTTTAAAAAATGTTTATTGTTCTTTTTTAGGTTGCGTCCTTCTCTCAAAAACAATCAGTCTTTAGTTTGTGTTATCTTGGAGTTTACTAAGGTTTCATATGGTTTTAATACATTTTTGATTTGAGTTTCAAGAGAAAACTTTATTCAGTTTAATCCAGTTCAAGTATCGCGGGACGATTTGAGTATCGCGGGACTTTCCGGTACATGTTATTATTGAGGTGGTATTACTAAATTACGTTAGTTATTCAAGCTTAACTCTAATTTGTTCTTCTTTGAGGAAATTTTGAATCGTTTGAAAGTTAAAGTTGTTTTTAGTTATTTTGCCAAACTAGAAATTCAATTATGGGCGAATCAAGTAGCAATTTGTGGAGTTTACAAAAAAAGCACACATGAAAAGTTTATTTCTTACCTTGATTGTTTTCATTACGCAATTTGTTTCAATGTCCAGGAAATTTACTTCTTATTTTCTACTAATATACTGCTATGTTACAAACTTTACTTCAGAATCGAGAATTTACTGCAAATACTTAGCACCATCGAATGTGGTTTCCATTAGTGCTGTACATTTGTGAATCCGTTTTCGATGAAAGGGGTATTTATAGGTTCTGGGCCTTCGTTTAATATTGAGTTGGCTGTGACAGCGTTCAAATATTGTTCAACTGAGTATTCAGGATCCATTGCTGTGAAAATTATTTGTGTCTTGTTTGATGTGGTCCATCGATGCTGTATGGATTCATTATCCTTTGAAATGATTCTGCTGTGTTTGTTGTTTTTGTGATATATATTTTTTCAGATTATATCAGCTAATTTTGTGTTTTTGTAAGTAATTTGGTGATGGGACTTTTTTCTTCATTGCTTCTGGTGGGTAACCTCGATTATGCATTGGTTATTGTGTTTGTATGGTATGACTTGGTGGTGTAAAATTTGGTTTTGTTGGAAGTTCAAGATGAGTGGCTTGATTTCTTGACGGATTTTTGTAGGGTTCAAAAATATTTGGTTGAAAAATTTCGTGTGGCAGGTCAACATTCTCCCATTGATAATTTATTCAATTTAATTTTGTTGTTGAAAAATTTCGCCTGGCTAGTCATTGTTATCCCATTGATAAATCCTTTTATGTTGATTTCGGTGAAAAAAATTTTCATCTTCCTGGAATTGTGATTGATTTTTTGTTGAATTGTCCATTATTTGGGCAGTTTTTATACTGCGATCTGTTTGGGTGTTTCCAAAATTGCAATCTGTTGGGTGTTTCTTTCATCATGGAAGCTTGCTGATTTGTTGAGTTCTAAGGTAGTTGATGATTCTAATTGTGTTCGTGAGATTGTTTGTGTTGTAAAAAACGGTCGTGCTATTGGGTGACTAATACTGTTTTTTGCAGAAAAAAAACGTAGTTACAAAATCGTGGTTGCAAAATTG